CAGGTTGACCCCATCGCTCGGGAGCCTAAACGATCGCCCTTGATTTACCAGCCTGAAACATATCCCTATCCCTATGCTGGGCATCTCCTCATCACGATGGCAATCTTAGGAATTCCTTATTTTTTGAGGGCGCATCCCTAAGACTGTCATCGCCTTCTGGCGCGTCAATCTTAGGGATAGGGATCAGTTCGAGGCTCGCCCCTGATCCCTGTTCCTCGGGACCCGTTCTGGTGTGCCGTGCCCTGCCTTGGACCTCCTGCTTCGGCTGTGTGGGCCCCTGGGCCTTGGGGCCCTGCATGTTCTCCCCAGCGGTAGTGATGCTGGGATCCTGGAAACTCCGAGGCTTCCCATCCTCGTTGACGGGTCTTCGAGTAGGAGGAGGAGGAGGAGGAGGAGGAGGAGGAGGAGGAGGCGGAGGAGGAGGAGGAGGAGGAGGAGGCGGCGGCGGAGGAGGAGGAGGAGGAGGAGGGAGGAGGAGGAGGAGGTCCCCAGAGGCTTGTGGAGTCCCGCGGAGCCCCAGAGAGAGCCGACAGCGTCCCCCAATTGGCCCGACCGTCGATGCTCGAAGCCGCCAAGAATGCGCGTGGTAGGAGTAGGCGGCAGACGATGAGGAGGAGGAGGAGGAGGAGGAGGAGGAGGAGGAGGAGGAGGAGGAGGAGGAGGAGGAGGTGGAGGAGGAGGAGGAGGAGGAGGAGGAGGAGGAGGAGTGGAAGGAGGAGCCTTGGGATCTGCAGCGGGAAAGCCGAAGAAGCGCGCGCCTGACAGGACGCGCCGACGCAGGCGCGCCCCAGGGGGGGTGGGCCGGGTCGGACAGCAGGTGCTCCGGTGCAGTCGCAGGGGTTTGGTTCCAGGATTGCTCATCCCGCTCCCTCGTCCTCCTTCCTCCCTCCTCCCTCCTCTTCCTCCTCGTCCTCCTCGTCCTCCTCCTCCTCCTCCTCCCCCTCTTTCTCCTCCCTCCTCCTCTTTCTCCTCCTCCTCCTCCTCCTCCTCCTCCTCCTCCTGCCCCTCCTCGCTTTCTTCTCTTGCCGCCCTTTCCACCTTTCTCATCCTCCCCTTCCTCCCCCACTGGCTGGAGGGACCCGGGAAGGCTGGGTCACTCCCGAGAGGGCGCGAAGAGAAAATCACGCTTCGCGCGTATCGCGGCCTTGAGAGGCTGGACATCCGCCCGTCTCCTCGGGCGCGGCGGCGCGATAGGGCGCGCGGAGGACCGTCGCCATCCACCAAATCACCCCAACCCAACCCGAAGGCTTCAATTTGCCCTCCATTCCCAGTGGGGGGGGGGTCGGGGAACATAGTAAAAACACATGAAACCCGTACCCCCCAAAACCCCAAATTCCATTCGAACTCGGGTCTTCGAGTTGGGTTGGGGTGGTCTGGTAGGTAGTCAGACCGCGTATCGCGCTTCGCGGGGTGCGATGCGGGAAGTTGGCTCAACCTAGGAAGAGGGGGTATGAAATCTGCTGCACGCAGCTCGAGTAGAGGATCGACTACAGAGTGCCTTTACCCCTCCAAGTTGGTTTCCTCGCTCATCCTGCATGTCTTCGTAGACTCGACGAGCAAGTAAAAAGTTTGGGGTACATCAATCCTGCAGTCGCTCCCCCACTCGAGCAGCGGGCTTCAGCCCCGCCCGCCGGGCGATGCGTGGGCGCCCCCGGCGCTGGGAGGCGTCGGGAAGCCACCGGCTTGCTCGTCCGCCCCGAGGGGGGCGCCGCTCCCTCTGCCCCTCCGTCGTCCTGGCCCTCCTCGCCCTCTCCTCGCCCCTCCTCGTCCTCTGGCGCTCCTCCTCGTCCTTCTGCCTCGTCGTCCTCCTCGGCCGTGTTCCTGCCCCCCTGTCCTCCCGGAGGCATGCGGGGTGCCTCCGTCGAGTCCTCTGCCCCTGGTGACCTCGGGAGAGACTTCCGAGGGCCCCGGCAGGCTCTCCGCCTTGCTCTGCCCGCTCACGCTGCCGATCCTCCGCCCTGCTCCCCCTGGCACACCCCCCGTGGCCTCCGTGGTCCAGGGCCCTGCCACCGCGGGCGTCCATCCCCGAGGCAAGTTCGGATGCCGCTGGCTCGAGGCCGGTAGCGATCCTTGGCGCCCGCGCAGGGCGTGCGCGGCACGTGCCGCCTCCGCTCTCCATGGGCGGGGCGGCGCGCGGCCCGGCCGCGTGCGCACCCGCCCGAGCCGTGCGCGACAGGGGCAGGCCCGGGGGGGCCCCCTGCCTGCAGGCTGCTCGGGCCAAGCCTCCACTCGGGCACGTCCCTCTACAGGAGGAATAGCCAGAAGTAGTCAAACATTTTGTGGTCTGGGGACGATGCTTCGACTCTGTTTGACTATTTTTGCGTGTGCTTGGATTTGTTCCTCTTTTTCTTCCAACATCCGCCTGTAGGAGGACATGCCCGAACTAAGCCGAGCCTCAGAGCTGAGGGCAAGCACAGCCGAGCCCGCGTTCCCAGCGCTCGAAGAAGGAACAACGCCACAAACAGAAACTTTTGGCGCTCCGCGCGGATTTATTGGATCCGCGCATGGGCCCCCCCCGGCGGCGCCTCCGGCGCCGCCCTTGGGGTCTCCAGCGAAGACCCAAGAAATCCGCGCAGAGCTGTTTATGCCGCTTTGCCTTTTTCTAAACGCGTGGGAGGCAACACGGACAGATTTCAGATCAGACTTGAGTCTGCGAGGCCAGAAACAGGGGCAGGCGGCGCGCCAGTGCTGGGACGGGGGAGCCCTGGTGGAACGCATCGGATTCCAGGATCCAGGATGTTTCGGGCCTCATCGAGGCCGCTCGTGCACACGCGTCAGTTTCAGCGGGCAAGACGGCCGTCGTGATCGCCAGCCCGCTGGCTGCGGTAGCAGCCGCTCTCATTGGATCTGTGTTTCTGTGTCTGTATGGGCAGCTTTCGGCGCAGGGGTCTTAGTGTGACGATTCGTTGGCACTCTTGCGGGGCGTACGAGAGCTTCGGATGCCAAGAAGTGCCCGGCCTGTCCCCGGGAGGCGGTTACGTGGCGGGGCCCACTGCAACGTCGGTGCGGGCGCCGCCCGCTTCGGCAGACGCAGCCGGGCGCCAGCGCGCCTCAGCCTGTTGGGAGGCCGAGCCCCAGCGCCTCGAGCAGCAGTCTGCGCCGTCCTGGCTCCAGGGGGCCTGGGCTCCAAGGGGGGAGGCTGGAGGCCTCCGTGCGTTTCCGTCGGCTCCCGGCGGCGTTGCCGCCTCGGGGTGCGCTCCAGCAGCTGCGCAGCTGCGCAGCTGCGCCGTCCTGGCTCCAGGGGGCCTGGGCTCCAAGGGGGGAGGCCGGAGGCCTCCGGACGTTTCCGTCGGCTCCCGGCGGCGTTGCCGCCTCGGGGTGCGCTCCAGCAGCTGCGCAGCTGCGCCGTCCTGGCTCCAGGGGGCCTGGGCTCCAAGGGGGGAGGCCTGAGGCCTCCGGACGTTTCCGTCGGCTCCCGGCGGCGTTGCCGCCTCGGGGTGCGCTCCGGCAGCGGCGCAGCTGCGCCGTCCTGGCTCCAGGGGGCCTGGGCTCCAAGGGGGGAGGCCTGAGGCCTCTGGGCGTTTCCGTCGGCTCCCGGCGGCGGTGCCCGCCTCGGGGTGCGCTCCGGCAGCGGCGCCGCGGCGCAGCGGCCGATCAGCGGCCCCGGGGAGGCCCGCATCTCGCCCCGAGCGGCCGCCGGAGGGCGGAGCTTGGACTCGGAAGGCCGGAGAGCCAATGCGAGGGGGGGGGGCAGGCTCGGGGGGGGCACCGACCCCCGATCGCCCACTGATCTTACCAGCCTCGAACGCATCCCTATCCCTAAGATCGACACGCCAGAAGGCGGTGACAATCTTAGGGATTCGCCCTCAAAGAACAAGGCAATCCCGAAGATTGGCATCGTGATGAGGAGGTGCCCAGCATAGGGATAGGGATATGTTCCAGGCTGGTCATGATCGCCCATGGGGGCGCGAGAGCCCGCCCCCCGCCCGGGGCCGTGCGGTTTCGCCACGGGGGCCCCGTCGCCGAGCGGCGTACCACCGCCGGTTCCGGCGCGATGCTCACCTCCCCCCCGAGCCAGGTCCGTCGAAGGCTCCCGCTCGCCAGGGGGGAGCAGCGGTTCCACAGGCAGCATGCGGTGGGACAGTGACGCGCCACTCGGCGAGGCCAGGGCCCGCAGGCGGCCAGCCTCCCCGACGAGTTCTCTGTGGGGGGGGGGGGGTTCTGGCCTCCGCTGCCTGCCCCCTTGCCTCGCAGTTGCCTCCAAGAAAGCCTGGGGCAGGGTCCCGATCCGAAGGCGTGGGCCGCTTCCTCCTCCTCCTCCTCCTCCTCCTCCTCCTCCTCCTCCTCCTCCTCCTGTTCCTCCTCCTCCGCCTCCTCCTCCTCCTCCTCCTGCTCGTCCTCCTGCTCGTCCTCCTGCCCCCTCCTCCTCCTCCTGCTCCTCCTCCTTCTCCTCCTTCTCCTCCTCGTCCTCCTCCTCCCGCTTCAGCCTAACGAGGTCGAGGTCTGCGGCGTTCTATCCCCTCTGGCTGCGCTGCCCCCATCGGGCCCTGGGTTCAAGCTGAGCCGTCGCGCTCGAGGCAGGACGTGGTGCTTGCACGGAGCCAGTGGGGCTTCTGGGGAACTCTCCAGCAATCCCACCCCTTTGCTCCACGTCTGCCCTCTTCCTCGAGCGGGGTGCACCATGGTGGTGCGCCAGGCCTCTGGCCCCACCGACGGGGTCGAGGCAGGCGCCCCGGAGCCATATGACTTCAGTCTCCTTCCCTCCCTCCTGCATCCGCCCTGCCAGGGCCGCTTTCCACCCGACCGATCCGATTCGATGCCGGTCCGAATCGATTCGATACCGATTTTCGAGCTAGCCGATGCGGCCCGATGTTTGCACGGCGCTGACGTGCATCCCGGCGAAGCCGGTCCGATGTGACACCGGCTCCGTGCCGATGCGGTGGGATTCTGATGCTCATTCCGATCCGATCTGGTTCCCGATTCGGTGCTGGGTGGTCCTGCCCTCCTGCATCCGCCCCTCGCCCGGCTCCCTCTCCCCTTTCCTTCCTTCCCCGGCGCGCAGCCGCTTTGGCCCAGCCCCCAAGCTCGCCTCGGCGGGACACCCGCCGCTCGACGGCGCTATGCTTGCCAGCCTGCCATGCGTCGGGCCCCAGAGGGGCCTGGCTGCGGCCGATGCCCCTCGGAGGCAGGACGCATTCCCCAGACCTCGGGCGTCGTGATTTCACCAACCGCGAAGAAGAGAAAGTAACTCATGCATGCGGTCGGGAGCTTTAGCTCAGCGTGTCGCTCCGCCGGTTCTGGCCCTCCACGCTTCGGTGCGACACGCCATTCACTTCCGAGCTTTTCTGAGCTCTTCTGAGCCTCCAGCCCAGCGGAGCGGAGTCACACGCTACCCGCTTGTGAGGACGGCAGAGCGTGTCGCCGGGGCCGCCGCTGCGACACGCTATGCAATGGTTCTTGACCGTACGGTTTCGAAGGTTCGGGCAATTTCTTGGATCGGCGCTGGGACCCCTGGCGGCGCTTCGGCGCCGGGGAGGGGGGTCAGCGCAGATCAAACAAATTCGCGGCCGGTGGAGCAGCGACAGTTTACATTCATGCCGTTGCCCCCCCCCACACGCGCACGATTTTCTTCGATCTCGGCCTCCGGACTTGGGGTCGTTTCAGCATCCTGGGGTCATCAGGACGAACAGTTGCCATTGCAACAGAATCAAGCGGAAGCTCCACGGGTTGTGGAACATGTGCTCATACATATACATATACGTATGTTTAAATATGCATATGGATTTAAACATGGGCTTCCTCACACATACGCGCAGCTCTCTGTATCTGTATGTATGTATGCATGTGTATGTATGTATGTATGTATGTATGTATGTATGTATGTATGCATGCATGCATGCATGCATGCATGCTGCATGCATGCATGCATGCATGCATGCATGTATGTATGTGTGTAGGCAGGTAGGTAGGTAGATATGTTGATTGGTTGGTTGGTATGTATGCATGTCTGATATCTGTATGTATGTACGTATTTATGTACGCATGTATATATGCATGCATGCATGCATGTATGTATGTATGTGTGCTTGTATGTATGTGTGCATGTACGCATGTATGTACGTATGCATGTATGTAGGTAGGTAGGTAGGCAGGTCTGTATGTATGTATGGGTGGATGGATGGACGGATGGATGGATGGACGGATGGATGGATGCATGTATGTATGTATGTTTGTATGTATGTACGTCTGCATGCATGCATGTATGCATGTATGCATGTATGCATGTATGCATGTATGCATGTATGCATGTATGCATGTACGCATGTCTGTCTGTCTGTCTGTCTGTCTGTCTGTCTGTCTGTCTGTCTGTCTGTCTGTCTGTCTGTCTGTCTGTCTCCCTGTCTGTCTGTCAGTCTGTCTGTCTATCTGTCTGTCTGTTTGTATGTATGTATGCATGTGTGCGTCTATGTGTGTGTATGTGTATGTATGTACGGATGAATTTATGTACGCATGTATATTATATATGTGTATGTATGTATATTTGTATATATATATATATATGTAAAATGTTCACATGCAAACACGCCGTCGGATGCCTGAGCGTCGTGTTGTGGCCCCTGACCCTTGCGACCCCCTCCCGCGGACCAGCTTCTCGCCCCGAGTCTTCCATCTGACGGCCCCCAGGGGCCACATGAGCGCTGCCCCCCCCCTCTTCCGGAGACCGAAGCCGAGGAAGAGAGCGCCGGGGCTGCACATGCCACGAGGTCGGAGGTCTGGGCCGCCGTTGCCCCTTGCGAAGCAGGACGCGTCGCAGTCTTCTGGGTCCCCGTCGACGAGGAGGTCGAGGAGGAGCGGGCGCCAGCTGGACCATCAGACCGTCGCCTCGCAGGAGGACGTGGACCTCATCCACAGGCCGGGCGGGGCGCTGCCGACGGCGACGGTGTCCGACTGCACGTGAGAGTGACCCTTCCCCTTCGCCGGAGTGACCCGTGCTGCGGGCCCAATTGGGTCCCTCGATCGCTGAACGCGACGCGGTGGCAGCAGCTTGCGCGCCTGGATTTGGCCACCCCGCGTCCCCCGTTAAGCCGCGCGCCACAGGTCACTCTTACCCAAGGGTCACTCTTGCGCTTAGCCGAGGTGTCTTCGTCCAGCACGGGGCCGGCGACGTTGGTGTCGACGTCATCGTTTCGAAGGTCTCGTTGGGGCGGTCCTGGAGGCTTTCGGCGTTTCGGCCGGGCGAGGCCCTCCGGGGTGGCCATGCAGGAGGGGTTCCGGGGACCGCTCTCGAGCGGGCTTTGGGTCGATGTCCATGGAGGGGGGGTGTCTGGATCCCTGCTGGGTTGTCCAAGGGGTTGTCCGGGGTAGGCCGTCTCGTCGTCAGTAAGCAGCGTGGGTTGTCCTGGGGAGTGTCGGGGGATTTTCTGGGGAATGCATTCTTTTTCCGTTGCACAATTGTAGATGGGTTCCGAGTAGAGGGGGTCGGAGAATCATGGTGCATCGCCGAGGCGTCGCCAGTGCGGTTCGACGTGGGCCCGCGTTTTCGCTGGATGCATTGCCGGAATGTCGCTGAGGCACCGGCGATGGGGTGCGATCCTGCGACCCCGCCTATTCGGACCCCATCTAGGAGGCTTCTACCAGTATGGGGCGACGGAGGCGGGGCGGCCTTCTGAGAAGGCACCCCACCTCTCCGAGGCCTACAGTGAGCGGCTTGAATAAGGAACACTTACTTTTCAAAAGGAGCTCGGTCGTTCCTTAGATTTTGCATGCGTTATTTACGGTTCCTTATGCGTTATTTGTTATGTGTCGTTCCTTATGCGTTCTTCCTTGGGACAAAAAGGGGCCTCGTTCCTTATTTATGGTTCCTTAGGTCAAGGCCCCGACTGTACCTGCCCTTCCGGACGCTCCTGGGCCCCCCCCTCTCAGACTCCCTCCCGACCCGGCCGCCGAGCCACGCCCAGCTGAGGCCACGCGGGGCCCCCGCCGCAGGAGGCACGGCAGCCATCGCCGAAGCACCCCCCTTCTGCTCCCGACGAGCACCCTCCCCGCCTCCCCTCTCTGCTGTGAGCCCGTGCCTCTCTCTGTGCTCCTGCTCCCCTCCTCCCCTCTCTCCCCTCCTCCCCTCTCTCCCCTCCTCCCCCCCTCCTCCCCTCCTCCCCTCCTCCCCTCCTCCTCCTCCCCCCCTCCCCTCCTCCCCTCTCTCTGCTCCTGCCGCTCAGCTTCCCTGTGCACCATCGTCCTCGGTGCCTCGGGCCGCCTGCGCGCCCTTCGCTCGCCGACCCGCCGGCGGCGGAGCCCTCTCCGCCTCCTCCCCCCCCCGCGGCCGCCCTCCCCTCGAGGTCTGCCGCCCGCTCCCGCGCCCCGCACTCCGCTCGCCCCGCCGGCAGCGAGACGCCCGCGCCCGCGACCGCCGGAGCTGCCGATCCGAAGCCTCTCTCTGTCGCGCTGCCTGGCCGAGCCGCCGGAGGCGCGTGCAGAGCTCCGGGCCGCCGCGCTGCCTGCCCCACGGGAGGTGCGGGGCCAGCCGCAGTCTGCGGCGGAGAGCCCCCTTCCTCCTCCCACCAGGGGGGAAGCCCGCATCGAACGACGCGAAGATCCGGACAAAATCGGATCGGGATAACTCGAAATCTCTGAGAATCGGCGGGTTTGGATGATGTGCTGGGCGCCGCGGCCGCTCCAGAGCGTTCCGGAACGCTCTGAGAGCGCTCCGGAACGCTCTGGAGCGATTTATCCCGACCCTAGCCCTGTTTTACAGGGGGGAAGCCCGCAGGCCATGCCATGTGGTGGGGGCGCTGGTGCATCTGGGCGATCGCAGTGGGTACGGAAAGAGGATGGGTGCGAGGCCCAGCGGCTGTTCCGGTTCGTGTGGAGCAGGTCTCGCTGCCCGCGCCGCCGCGGGCGCTGTTCGCCTGGACAAAAAGCCGCCTGCCGAACAGCAGCCGCTGTCTGTTTTGGGCAACATTTGTTGTTGGGCATTGTGCCCATTTTCGCCGTATCCATTCCGGGCGTCCAAAGTTGAGGAGTGTGCCCAGGAGGCACGAGACCTTGTGAGACTCCGTATCTGATGAGGGCAGCAGGAATACCCTTGGCCCAGCCTCCCCTCAGATCTGACGTTGTGCAAGAATGCATCGCGTAAAATCACTGCTGGAGCCCCAGACCCCATCTTTCTGCGTCAGATTCGAGCCAGAATGGCCTGTGCGGGCCCCGGGGACAGAAGATGGGCGAAACACACCCGTTGCGATAGAAATGCAGCGCCTGGATCTCAGAGTCAGTTGGTGTTCCACTGGCTTCCAGACCCTGGGCTCCTTGTCTGAGGGCTCCTTACCCGCTACCCTCACCGTATCTGTCTCCAAACGCTCGAATCCCTCCCCATCCCCTCAGCCGCGCCGCGTCCGCCTCTCCCAGACGTCCGCTGCCTTGAGCTTCTCAGTACGGGGCCCCCAGAGGTCTGGACCTTGACCCCACCCGGGGCGTAATTACGCAGCGGGGGTCTGCGCTAACGGGGGTCATAGCCAACCCCCTTCTGGCCGACCTGGGTGTGGGAACCACGTGGGGCCGATGCAAGGGGGTCCAGCTGATAGGGGGGTGGTGCCATAGATCTGGTGCAATAGACTTGCAGGGTTGCAGTGGATTTTGTGCAATAGACTTGCAGGGTTGCAGTGGATTTTGGGCGCGCAATACATTCCGGTGTGCCAATATATTTTCGCGTGCAACACATTCGCTGCAATACAGCGAAGCACAGCTCTCTGGCGCAATACGCTCGCAAAACAATTGCCCCAAACCTACTGCACCACCCCCTTGCAGCTGGACCCCTCCGTGGGGCCAACCAAAGAAAAGCTTTCGCCCTGAGTTTCTCGAGACGTTGGCGGCCTGGGCCGCGCGCACCCCCGAGGACCGATGCTGTGCCGTCGAGCAGGGCAGGGTGCCCGACGGCCCACGGGGCGGCTTTTCGCCCCGGATCCGCCTGCGTTTGCCCCGCGTTCCGGAAGCGGTCCCCGCGAGGGCCGAGCTCGAGGCAAACGTTGGTAGTGTCCAGAGGTGGTGGTGACAACACCTGCCGGTGAGTCTCGGGCGGTTTGGTGTCACCGCCCAGTTTGGGGGCTCTCGTGTGGTTTTTCGAGGATGTCCCGAACGCTGCTTTGTCCAGGAGTCACAAAACCCGGCGGTGACCCCGTGTTGCAAAGCCCGGCGGTGACTTTGGGAGGATTCCAGGTCACCACCTCATATATCACCACCTGGTTCGGGGGCTCCCAAAAACGGCGGGATGGACAACACCAGATGAGCGACAGAGGAAAACGGGGTCGTCTTGTCTTTCCCGACATTGGCGCGCAAGCTGCCTGCGTAAGATCGCACGCGATCGCCCTCGTTTCCCGTTAGGCGGGCCGCGCTGGCGGTCCGCGTCAGCTACAGCGTAAGGTCGCCGTGCCATCTCGCGTAAGACCGTTGTTTTTCGTCGCTCAGATCCTCCCAGGCCTGGGCCCGTTCTACACCGCTCCAAGGCCCTCCCTGCCCCCGGAAAGCGTTCTCCTCCTCCTCCTCGTCCTCCTCCTCCTCCTCCTGCTCCTCCTCCTCGTCCTCCTACTCCTCCTCCTCCTGCTCCTCCTCCTCCTCCTCCTCCTCCTCCTCCTCCTCCTCCTCCTGCTCCTCATCCCTCCGCTCCCTCCCTGCTCCTCCCTGCTCCTCCCTGCTCCTCCCTGCTCCTCCTCCTCCCTCCTCCTCCTCCTCCTCCTCCCTCCTCCTCCTCCTCCTCCTCCTCCTCCTCCTCCTCCTCCTCCTCCTCCTCCTCCTCCTCCTCCTCCTCCTCCTCCTTCTCCTCCTCCCTCCTCATTCTCATCCTCCTCCGATAGATTCCTCCTCCTCCCCCTCGCCTTTTGCCTTCTCTCTCCCTCGTAATGTTGTTTCTCTTCCTCCTCGTTTCCCTGGCCCTCCGCGCCCCGCCCTCGTCCGCGCCCCCCCGTCCGCAGGATCGACGTCATGCTGTCGAGCACGGCCGCGTGCTCGAAGGCCTGTGGCGCCGCCTTCCTCCGGCTGGCCTCCCCCGGCCGCGCCGGGGGGGGCCCCGGGGATCTCGAGGCCGAGGCCGCGGTGTGGCGCGAGAGTCTGCCGGCCTGCCTGGAGTAGGCCCCCCGGCGGCGCGCAGGGCGGAGGCCGGGCGCGCGGCGCCGGGCTTCGAATCCCAGGCGGGGGTGTAGCGATAGCCGCCGCCCGTGGGATCGATCTGCGCGGGCCTCCGCAGGGGCGGTGGGCATGGATCTTCGTGGGATCGATTTTCCGTGGAATCGATCCCACGAAGATCGATGCCGCATGGGCCGCCGCCCGTGGATCGATCTTCGTGGGATCGATCTTCGGGGGACATGTTGGGGCCCCTGGGGGGCAGAGTGTACCCATGTCCACCGCCCGCTGCAGCACCAGGGCGTCGCTTCCCAGGCGGTGGGCATGGATAGGCCCCCGCCCCGCACGTAAGGGGGGTCTGCGCACAGCGGGGGGCGGCCCAGAGGGAAGCGACGACTGGCCGTGGGGGGGGAGAGCACGTCCTCGGTGTCGTCTGACCGACCCCCCTGGCCCCATCCACATCCCCAGCCAGACCCCCTCCATCTCCTCCCCCCCCCTACCACTTGGGGAGACATGCCCCTGGAAGCCCGATGGAGACAGCTTGTATCCCCCATCTAGGCCTCCCAGATGGGGTCCAAGCAGATGGGGTCGGAGGATCGCGCTGCATCGCCGATGCATCAGCGATGCGGCTCGATGTGCAGCCTAATTTCTCCACGCCGACGTCGCCAATGCATCGCCGATGCATCGGCGATACATCGACGACTCCGTGCAATCTTCCGACACCATCTGCTCGGACCCCGTCCAGAAGGCCTCCACAGTCTTGGGGGGAGAGCATATCCGTATCCGCGGCCTCGCGGACTGGGCCCCTGGGCTTTGACCCCTTGGATATGGGGGGCATTTTTTCGCGGATGCTCCGCGCGGACTGTATATCCGTGCGACCGCGTATCCGCGGGATCGGGCCCCAGAATCCAGACCGTGAGGGCGCGGGTACGTCGCCGCTCGTGAAAGTGGGAGGTGAAGATCATCGCCGGGACCATGATTTCTCCTCGGATTTGATGGCTCCCACGTCTCTTTCGACGCATCCCTGGCCCTCCACTCGTTCTGCGCACATGCCTCGAGCCATGATTTTCGAACCGGCTTCTTGGACGCCTCCCTCTTCGCTCCCAAGGTAGGGATAGGCGCCGCGAAACCTTATGGGAGCATAATGTTTGTGTGTGTATATATATATATATATATATATGCATGTACGCATGGTTGTATGTGCGTACATATGTACGTTTTGCTGGATGTATGGCTGCATGTATGCATTTGCATGTATGTATGTATGTATACATGCATGCATGCATGCATGCATGTGTGTTTGTATGTACGCATGTATGTATGTCTGCATGCATGCATGCATGTATGTATGCATGCATGCATGCATGTATGCATGTATGTACACATGCATGTATCTATACGTATGGATGAATGTATGTATGCGTATAGATATGTATGTATGCATGCATACATGTATGCATGTTTGCATGCATGGAAGTAATGCATATATGTATGCATGCATGCATGCATGCATGCATGCATGCATGCATGCATGTATGTGTGTCTGTCTGTCTGTATGTATGTATGTGTGTATGTATGTATGTGTGTATGTATGTATGTATGTATGTATGTATGTATGTATGTATGTATGTATGTATGTATGTATGTAGGTATGTCTGCATGCACGTATGCGTGTATGTGTATGTATGGGTGCATGCATGCATGCATGTATGCATGCATGTATGCATGTATGCATGCATGCACATCTGGATGTACGTATCGACATATGTGCATGGACGTCGTGTGTTATGTAAGTTCAGGTTTTGCCGTGGACTGTATGCATCTGATGTATGTACGTCTGTGTTTATGTATGTGTGGCATGTTGTTTATGTATGTATGTATAGGTATGTGTGTTTGTATGTATGTATGCATGCATATTTGCCTATGCATGTAGTTGTGTATGTATGCATGCATGCATGTCTGTACATATGTACGTATGCACGTACGTATGTATGCATGCATGTACGTATGTGTTTATTTACGTATTTATGTTTGTGTGTGTACGTATGTACGTACGTGCGTACGTATGTACGTACGTACGTACGTATGTATGTATGTATGTATGTATGTATGTATGTATGTATGTATGTATGTACGTATTCATGTTCTACACATAAGTTGCAGCAGAGGAACACCCAATCAGTCGATTGTTTCACAATCGATCGTGATATCGTTTGTGCGATCTAAGATCGATTGTTAGATCGATGATGATATCGATCGTGAAATCGATAGTGAGAACCCGGAAACCCAGGAACCCCGCCGCCCGCCGAAATCGACCCAGAACCAGCAACTGGGAACCCAGGAACCAGGAACGGGGAACCCCGGAACCCCGCCGCCCACCGAAATCGGCCAGGAAGTTTCGCCACATTTTTCAATTGTTCGAAACCGCCCAACCTGTGGATGGTTTGAAAATTAGTGACCTGGATATTGAGATCAAGTGTGAGATCGATCGTGAGATCAACGGTCGGACCGACAGTGATGTCGAGTCATTGTGATCGATAGCGAGATCGATCGTGAGATCGTTCGTGCGATCGATTGTGAGATCGATAGTGAGATCGATCGAGGGATCGATAATAATATCGATAGAGAGGTGGGTAGCAAGATCGATTGCGAGACCGATCGATAAGGAGATCGACCAAGAACCGGGGAACAAGAAAACCCAGGAACCTCGCCGCCCACCGAAATCGGCCCGCAGCCACCAACCGGGAATCCTGGAACCCTCAACCCGGAACTTGGGAACCCGGCCGGTCACCGAAATCGGCAGGGAATTTTCGCCAAACCTTTTCCATATCACCAGAGGAAACCCCAGTTAGTGGACGGTTTGAAAATGTGGCGTGAGTATGAGAACGATCGTGAGATCGACAGTGAGTTCCATACAGTCGGGGCCCTGAAGAAGGAACCCTTTTCGTTGGGGAGGGGCTCCGCGTTCCTTAAGGAAATCGAAGTTTAACTTATAGAAAAAAGGGGCCTCGTTCCTTATTTTGGGTTCCCTAGGTCAAGCCCCCGACTGTAGTGCGATTGGTAGTGAGATCGATCGTGAGATCGATCGTGGAATCGATCTCACCCTATCGATCGATCGATAACCCGGAACTGGGAACCCGGTAACCCCTCGATCGGGGACGCCGGAGCCGGGAAGCCAGGAACCAAGTGTAAAACGACGCGAAGATCGGGACAAAATCGGATCGGGATAACTCGAAATCTCTGAGAATCGGCGGGCTTGGAGAATGTATTAGGCGCCGCTGCCGCTCAAGAGCGTTCCGGAACGCTCTGAGAGCGCTCCGGAGCGCTCTGGAGCGATTTATCCCGATCCTAGCCCTGTTTTACCAAGAACCCGGAACTGGGAACCCGGGAGCCCGAACCGGGAACCCGGGCTACCCGGCGGCCCACCAAAATCGGCCGCCTGCTTTCGCCAAGTCTTTCAGGATCCACTATAGGACCCCTTCAGTGACTAAGCACTGATTGGGGAATCTATGAACTACACCTGAGGAAACCCAAGCAGTGGATGAATTGAAAATTAATACTACGGATCTTGAGATCGACTGTGAGATCGATAGTGAGATCGATAATGCAGTCGACAGTGAGGACGATTGTAAGGTCGATCGTGAGACCGAGAGTGACATCGATTCAATGAGATCGACAGTGAGATCGATCCTGAGATCGCTCATGCGATCTCTAGTGAGATCCCTTGTGAGATCGATAATGAGATCGATAGTGAAATCGATAGAGAAGTGGGTGATGAGATCGATGGTTAGACCGATCGATAAGAAGATCGACCAGGAACCCGGGAACCCGGGAACCTCGCCGCCCTCCGAAATCGGCCCGGAACCGGGAACCCGGAACCTGGGAACCCGGAACCGGGAACCCGGGAACCCAGCCAGCAGCCAAATTCGGCGGGACATTTTCGCCAATTCTTTCAACATCCGCGAGGACCCCTCCAGTGCAAGCATTGATTGAGGAATAATCGCCTTCGGCCCATCCCGCCACCGTTCTTTTGGACAAAGAGCCAGAACCCAAACCGAAACAGAGTAGCACGCCAGGCACCCCTGCGAGGAGTCGACCAGGGGGCGGCGGATGATTGCCTTCGGCCCATCCCGGCACCGTGCCCGGCCTGCGGGTCAGAGTCCTCAGGGGGTCCCCGGTCCGTGGGTCGGGCGCCCGCGCGCCACATCCACGGGTATCCGTAGTCCATGCCGGGACCCGACGTGAGGGCTTCTCGAAGGGGCAGGCGTGCTTCGGAGAGGGTGGGGGGTGCCCTCTCCCTCGGGGGGAGGAGAGGCGATGCCAACACCACCAGGGGGCCCGCCGCCAGCGAGGAGGTCCACGGTGCCTCTCCGAGCAAGAGGCTGGGGATGTCTCGAGCGCGAGAGGGGGGACCACACCACCAGGGAGTTCCCCCTTGCCTCCTCGCATCTCCTCGCCCTGTTGGAGTTGGTGTCGCCTTTCCTCATTCCTATATCCCGTCCCGCTCGCCCTGTCCCCTCACGTGCGCCGCCGCGTTTCTGAGGGTCCCTGTGAAGCACCATGAGATCTTCCTGACGGTCCTGTCGCGCGAGGAGCGGTTCCAGTCGCAGCCGGGACCGCTGAGCTTCAGCGCCTTCCAGGCGCTGGTGGTGAAGGGGCTGCGCCGCATCCGCGAGATGTATTGCATCCCCCTCGAGAAAGGCAAGTTCGTGACCCAGAACCAGCGGCTTTTCGAGTCCGAGTATGAGCAGTCGTTCTTTGTGGGCAGCGGTGGCTTCGGAAGATGTGCGTGGGTCGTGCAGAAGACCACGCGGGCCGAGAGGGTGGCTAAGATAATAGACAAGGAGCGCTGCGCGATGCCGCTGGAGGAGATAGAGCAGGAGCTCGACATCCTTCGAGATCTGGACCACCCGCACATCGTCCGGTGCTTCGAGTGGTTCGAGTCGGGGAGCGAATTCGTCATCGTCATGGAGGTGGCGCGCGGCGGCGATTTCGACAAGGCGCTGAAGGCGGCGCAGAAGGCAGGGCGCCGCGGTCTGTCAGAGGGAATGGTGAGCGTACTCTGCCAGCAAGGCTTTGGCGCCCTGGCGTACATCCATTCGAAGAAGGTGATTCACCGTGACCTGAAGCCAGCGAATATCTTCATGCTGAAGAAGGACGAGAATCCGCCGCACGTCCTCGTTGCGGATTTCGGGATCGCCGACATCTTCCACTTCGGCGCCGCCGCCGCCAGACTCACCGAGTCGCACAAGAAGGGCACATGGCCGTACATGGCTCCAGAGATCTTCGAGGACCTCGTCAGCCCGAAGTCGGACGTGTGGGCCATGGGCGTCGTGTCCTGGGAGCTGCTCACCGGGGAGAAGCCGTTCGGTGTCAAGCCCTTCGAGGTGCACGCCACCGTCTGCGACGACGACCCCATCGACTTCGGCCCGGTCGCCGAGGCTGCGGCCACCAGGGGCCCGGACGGGGCCGTCGCCTTCCTCGAGCGGCTGCTGGTGCGGGACGAGGCGGCGAGGCTCACGGCGCACGAGGCGCAGGTGGCCGCCGAGCGCTGGGCCCCGCCGGGCGGCGGATGCAGGTCCGACCACAGGGGCTCCATGGAGTCCCTCTGCGTGGACCTCGAGGAGTCCATGGACCTCCAGGGGCTCCAGGACGGCGGCGCATTCTCGAAGGCAGCCATGCTCTGCATGGCCAGCCAGATGGACTCGTCGACCATCGAGCGGCTCGCCGATCGCTTTGACCGCATCGATGCCGACCGCGACGGCAGGATCTCCGTCGTGGAGTTTGCCGCCTCGTTCCGCGAGCTGGGCTACAGCGAAGGCGACATCGAGACCATGGTGGCCTCCTTGGACGTGGACCACGACGGGGAGGTCGAGTACAACGAGTTCGTGGCGGGCTGCATCGGGGCCGACAGGCACCTGCAGGAGACGGCGCTCAGAGCCGCCTTCTCCGTGTTTGACGTGGACGGCGACGGCTCCATACAGATCGAGGAGTTCGAGCAGATCCTGGGCGCCGAGGGCTCGCAGTCGCTGCTGCCCGACGGGATGCGCATCGATCAGGAGTTCGCGAAGGTAGACACCTCCAGCGACGGGCGGATAACGTACGAGGAGTTCAAGGCCTTCGTCGAGAAGCTCCACCGGGAGCATGCGTCCCGCGAGGCGGCTGGAGCCGGCGGGCCCCTGGGCAGGCTGCGAGCCCGCCGCCAGGAGCTCGCGGCGGAGACGGCGCAGTACAAGGCGCTGCACGCGAGGGTCGACGGCATGAACGCGCGGCTGCAGGAGCTGCTGGCTGGCCGCTGAGCGGACACTCCAGCCTCGGCTGGCGCCGAGGGGGCCGCCGCCAAGTGCGCCTCGCGCGCGCGAGGCGGCCCCCGCGCGCCCGTCGGCGCCCTGCGGCCGCGCCGCCCCGAGGGTGGCGCCGCCTCCTCTCGGAGAGCGCGGGCGGGCGGCCTCGAGGCCCTCTATGACAGCGGCCGGCCGCGGCGGTGCCGCGGCGCCGCGGCGCCGCGAGGCGCCGCGAGGCGCCGCGAGGCGGCGCCTTCGCCCTCGCCGCGGCCAGCGCCGCCCCCTCGAAGATCGCGGCCTCGGCCTCGGCCCAGCGGCGCGGGCGGCCGCGGCGCCTGTGCGCAGCGGCTCGCCGCGGCTGCGGCTCGCAGCGGCCGCGCCGCCGCGCTGCGAGGGCCGGCGGCGCCGCGAGCGCGTCTGAGCTCTGCAGGGGCCGCGGCAGCGGCGGCGCGAGTCCGAGGCGCGCGAGCCGGCGGCGCGAGCCGGCGGCGCGAGCCCGCGGCGCGAGCCCGAGGCGCGAGCCCGAGGCAAGCGCGACCGAGCTCTGCAGCGGCGCGAGCCCGAGGCGGCGGCGCCGCCGCCGCGACGCGGCCGGGCGCCGCAAGGACGGCGGCGCCGTCGCGACGCGGGGCTTCGCGCGCTCACGTGGGCCGCGGCGGCGTGAGAGAGGAGACAGGGAGGGAGAGCGGCAGGGAGGGAGGGAGGAAGGGAGCAGGAGGAGGAGGAGGCTGAGCAGGAGGCGGAGAAGGAGGAGGAGGAGGAGGAGGAGGAGGAGGAGGAGGAGGAGGAGGAGGGAGGAGGGAAGAGGGATGATAAAGGAAGGAGGACGTGGGAGGGAGGAGGGACCCGGAGGAGGAGAAGGAGGAGGGAGGAGGAATGGCAAGAGGCGGCATGCATGAGCAATGTTTCGATACACCCCGTTTAAAGCCCCCTTCCTTAGAGCTCCCTGCTCACTATGTTTCCATTTCGGTAAACGCCACCGTTGACAGACGGACGCCCTGTGGGCTTGCCATTTCAGGCGAGACGTAATTAGCTTTGTGAAGGAGTTGTTGTTGTTGTTCATTGGGTCATACAGTTCAAGGAGATTGTCAGCAACTCCTCAGATCTGCGCTGCGCAAGCGCAAATCCGTGCAAGCGCTGCGCATTCAGCAGTATTGCCTTGTTGTCGGAGGACGTCACAAGCAAGATCTTTTGAAAAGGGCAGCCCTCTATCCATGCGAGCGACGCCAAGCAGCGGGGTCGTCTGTGCCGACATCGGTGCATACGTTGCCCTGGTAAGTTATTACGTAAGCGCCCTCGTCTCCAAAGGAACGTTCCGCGTTGGCGGCCCACGTAAGCCACCGCGTAAGGTCGCTGTGTCATCTCACGCAAGACCCGTTTTCGTTCGTCGTTCATGTAATTGTTTCACGTTCTTGAACATCGGGACACACCATTGGCCAAGCCTTCAGCGGGAGCCCCACTTCGGAAAGGAGTCGCCCTCCATCATTGCAGTTTGTTGACGACCGTGCGCTGCGCGAATGCGAGAGCCCCGTTTTGAACACGTGTCGCGCTTCGTCGAGGTAATATGTTGCTCCCGAAACAGCTGACTTGTGAGGATTCTGCAGCTTGTTCGAATGGGCGCCCTGTGGGGGAGCCTGGGCAACCGAAATCGGTGGGCCACCGTTGCCCCCCATCGACGGCCCCCCCATCGTGGCCCCTCATGCCACCCATCGTGGTCCCCCATCGTGGCCCCCATCACGCCCCCATCGTGCCCCCATCGCTGCCCCCCCCATTACGCCCGCATTGTGGCCCCCCTTATCACGCCCCCCCATCGTGCCCCCCCCCCCCCAACACGCCCCCCAGTCGTGGCCCCCCATCACGCCCCCATCGTTGGCCCCCCCTCGTGGCCCACCATCGTGACCCCCCATCGTGGGCCCCCGTCATCAGGCAAAGTGCTCAGCCCGCCCCAACGACACGTGTGGTAGTGTGACAGGATGGACTTATACGAAGGGAAGAGGGATCGTGGAGGAGCAAGAGGAGGAGGTGGAGGAACAATGAAGGGGTAAGGAGAGAATAGAGTGGGAGTGGGAACAGCTGGGAGCGCTCGCGACAAATCAGACACCCTGCCCCTCCCACCCATCCCTTCGCATTGCGTTGTTTTTTCTCTATCCGCCGACGCTTGTCATAGCGGACCTGGAATTCCAAAGAGAACCCCATCATGTGATGAGCAATTGGGAAAACAAATAACTGCGTACAGATGAGGAGGAGGAGGTGGTGGCGGATGAGCAGGAGGATATTGCAGGAGGGAAAAGAGGATGAATAAGGAGGCGGACGAGGCCGAATAGCAGCAGCAGGAGCTGGAATGGAGGGAGCGGGAGGAGGAGGAGGAGGACCAGGAGAAGGCGGAGGAGGGGACATGTGGTGGGCGACAACGGCGAAGCAGGACTCGAATCCAGAAACGCGGCCAGCGCTGGGGCGACAGCGCCATTCTGAACGGCGGGAGCTGCGCGCGGATCCGAACATGAGTTTCACGCTGCAGCTGGAGCACCCTTTTGAGCCACTGAAAACAATCGGATGCTAACAAGCAGTAATAATACATATTCAACTTGAACATCTTCGGGACAGGTCAGAGGAAAGGGGGAGGTAGTATTTAGAACGTGTAAATGTGGACGGAGGATGGGGAGTAGGACGAGGGAGGAGGGTGGAGCGGGGGGAGAGGGAGAGGAGGGAGGAGGGACGACGGATGAGGGATGTTGATGATGAGGGAGAAGAGGGAGAGGGATGAAGAGGAGGAATCGGCACGGAGAGGGAATGAGGGCCCCCTCCTCCCTTATTCCTCCTTGCTTCCCCTCCTCATTCTCACCCTCCTCTTCCTCCCTCTCCTCATCCGGCCTTAACTGTTTCCCCCTCTCCTTCTCCTCCCTCCTCCCCTCCCCTCCTCCTCCTTCTCCTTTTCCTCCTCCTCCTTTTCCTCCTCCTCCTCCTCCTCCTCCTCCTCCTCCTCCCCCCCTTTTCTTCCTCCTCCTCCTCCTCCTGCTCCTTCTCCTCCTCCTCCTCCCCTTATCTTTCTCCTCCTCCTCCTCATTTTCCCTCCCCCCTCCTCCCTCCCCCCCTCCTCTCTCCTCCTCCCGCCCTCCCGCCTGCTCCCTGCGCTTCTCTCTTTCCCCTCCCTGCTCCCTCCCCCCTCCAGCTCAGAGTCCGACTCCGCTCCCCCCGCCCCCCCCCCGCCCCGAGGTGCTCGAGGCGCAGGAGCCGCCGACCCCGTCGCGGCGGCCGGGCCCCGCTGACGAGGCCGACGCCGCGGGCGAGGCGCCTCCCGCGGCCCTGGCCGCCGCTCGTGGCTGCCCTCGCCCTCTCGCTGGGCCTGGCCTCGCAGCTTTTTCACCACCTCCTCCTCCTTTCCCCTTCCTTTCCCTCTTCGTCTTATTATTCTTACCATCATCAGTTTCGTTTTTTAAATGCGGCTTTGTTACTCGTATGGGTATTAGTTCGATTATGATTACTATCATTATCATTGTTGCCATCATTCGTATTACTGGTGTTCGTATTATTGTTACCATCATTGTTATTCTTAGTATTATTATTACTAGTATTAGTATTATTATTGCTAATACTATTGTTAGTAACTTATTTTCATTACTCTTACTTGTATCTCTATTCTCACTACTGATATTGTTATTAGTCGTATAATTATTATGTTTGGTATTATTCGCATGTGTATTATGATTAATAGTGCTAGTATTAGTATTGTTTTAATTTAAACTTCTTCTTCTTCTCATTATCATTATTATTATTATTAGTATTCGTACTAGTATTATTTTATTATTCGTATCATTCATACCATTGCTATTTTTTCTCCTCCTCATGCTCCTGCTTCTCCTCCTCTTTCTCCTCCTCCCTCTGCTCCTCCTTCTTCCCTGCTCTCCTCACCCTCCTCCTCCCCCCCCCTCGGCGTTGTGCGTGCGTGTCTCTCCCCCGCACTGGTGAGGAAGAGATGCAAGCACAAGCACGACATTCGAAATCTCAGCATCGCAGCTTTCGCACACCACCTCCTCCTCCTCTCCTTCTCCTCCTCCCCCTTTCCTCTTCTACTCCTCCTCCTCCTCCTCCTCCTCCTCCTCCTGCAGCTGCTGCTGCTGCTGCTGCTGTGGCACCGCTGATCGGGAAAGTTCCGGAGCGTCCGCCAAGTGAATGGGCAAAGAGGCGACGAGGGACCCAGGCACCCCAGAGACCCCAGCGGCAGGGCAGGACCCGAGCGATCCCCCCCCCCCCCCAAGAGGGGAGGAGACGCCCAGGGGGAGGAGGAGGAGGGCAACAGGGGGGGGCGGGAGAGCAGGAGGCCGCAGGGGAAGCGTTTTGAGGGCTTCGTTTTTCGCAAGGGTGCTGCGTCGTCGTTGTCGTCGTCGTTTCCCCTCGTCGTCGTTTTTCATAAGGATGCTGCGTCGTCATTGTCGTCGTCGTTTTTCATAAGGATGCTGCGTTGTGAGGGTCTCGTTTTTCATAAGGATGCAGCGTGTTTGTCGTCGTCGTTTCCCTCGCTGTCGTCAGTGTTGTCGTCGCCGTCCTCGTCGAGTACTTCGTTGGCATCGCTGGCAGCTTTGCCGCCGTCGTCGTCCACTAATAGTTGCTCTCCTGCTGTGCGTTGCCGGCCTTCAGGCGCAAAAGGAGCCCTGTGGACGTTCAGACTCGCGAGCTCCAGCATATCCTCCTCCTCCTCCACGTGGAGGATCCGACCCTGGGAGAAAGAACCCAAGACAAACAACAAGTTTGGCCTCTCGAATCCGATCCTCAAGTTGTTCTGTTCGGGCGGGCCTGGGCAAAAATAAACGGGACCCCTGGGCCAGGTGGTAGTTGTTGTTTTTTCCTTGGGATCTTCCCCCCAGTGGCCAGTGTTTTCTCCAAATCGGCTTGCCCTGTAGGAGTCCTAGCTCACACCCTACTAATCGGTCCATTGCCCACCCTACTAATCGGTCCATTGCCCCCCCCCCAAACAAAATCCCATGCCCCCCCGAATTCCTATGGCTATGTCTCCGCCTATGCCTATGCCTCCCCCCTAACTCCTGTGCCTACGCCAATGCCTCTGCCTATGCCTATGCACCACCTCTCGGCGCTCCTAGGCCTATACCTATGCCGATGCCTGTGCACAACCTCTGGGCACCTCCTTTTTCCAATGGCCCCCCCTTATTTCCAATTGCACCCCCCTCCCCCCCTTTTTCCAATGGCACCCCCCCTTATGCACGCTTGCTTGCTTGCTTGCTTGCGCGCTTGCTTGCGCGCTTGCTTGCACGCTCGCTTGCTTGCTAACTGCGGATTCCAAGCATGCTCGTTTCCTCTGATTCCTTGATTTGGGTCGTCTAATCGATTTGGAGTCAACCCTGGCTGATATGTTTTCTTGGGATCTTCCCCCCAGCGGCCACTTGCTAGAGGAAGCTGGCAGCGCCAGGGACTGTCGGCGCCAGGAGCCTTCGGAAGGACCTCCTCCTCATTCAGAGGTCGTGGCCGCTTACGGCCTACTTTTGCACCCGTGGGAGAATCGTGACAGTTTCCCTGATGGGTATTCGGCTGCCTGTAGCAACATTCTCACTGAGGCTGTCTTGGTTGCCTCCTGAGGCTCCCTTGGATCGCCATCATCATCAATCGTTTTTTTCTGGCCGGTGCATGTCATCAGCATCGTCATCGAGAGCAACCTTCTGGCTGGTGCATGTCGTCCGCATTGTCTCCTTCTCGAGGAAGAGGGCAGGGAACGAACCTCCTCCTCTTTCCTGAGGGAAAGGGAAGGGAAGGAACCTTCTTCTCACCACCTCCTCGTCCTTCCTGAGGGATAAAGGAGGGGAGAAAGCTGCGCCTCCTCCTCCAGAGGGAAAAGAAAAGGGGTGGCACCTCCTCATCTTCCTTTTTCCTGAGGGAGAAGTAAAGGAAGGAACCTCCTCTTCCTTCCCGAGGGAAGAGAAGGAAGTACCCCCCACGTCCTCTTCATATCTCTCCTGCCCGAGAAAGAAAATGAAAGGGACCTCCCCCTCCTTTCCGAAAGAAGAGAAGGGTTGGCACCTTTTTTCTCACCACCTCCTTCCTGAGGGAGAGGAGGGGAGGAACCTCCACATCCTTCACCTTGAAGGAAAGGAAATGGAAGAGACCCTCTCAGGAAGAGGGAAGGGAAGCAACCTCCTCCTCCTTCTGATAGGAGGGTAGGGAATTCACTTCCTCCTCCTCCTCGGCCTCCTCCTGCTTGACGGAAAGGGAAGGGAAGGAACCTCTTCGTCCTTCTGAGGGCACGACAAGGGGGCGAACCACCTCCTCCTCCTTCCTGAGGGAGAAGAGGGAAGGATTCTCCACATCCTCCCTTTTGCGGGAAAGGAGAGAGAAGAGACCGGTTCATGCTTCTCCTCCTTTCCTTGACGAGGAAGATGGAATGGAAGGAGTCGCCTCCTGCTTCTGGAGGGAAGGGAAGTAACGGAACCCCCTTCTCTTCCTTCTCGGCCTCTTCCTGCTTGAGGGACAGGGAAGGGAAGGGGCCTCCTCCTCCTTCCTGAGGGCGCGAGAAAGGGCGGAACCACCTTTTTCCCTCCTTCCTGAAGGAAAAGAGGATGAACAGAACCTCCACCTCCTCCTTGTAAGCGAAAGGAAATGGAAGGCACCTCCTCATCCTCGTTTTTCCTGAGGTACAAGGGAGGGGAGGAACCTCCTCCTCCTTCCTGAAGGAAGAGAAGGAACGCAACCCCCGCTTCCTCTTCATCCCTCTCCTTCCTAAGGAAGAGGGAATGGAAGGAACCTCCTCCTTTCTGAAAGAAGGGAAAGGGTGGAGTTTTTGTCTCACCATTTCCTTCTTGAGGGAGAAAGGAGGGACGGAACCTCCGCATCCTCCATCCTGAAGGAAAGGGAAGTGAAGGAACCCTCTTATCCTCGCCCTCCTTCCTGACGAGGGAAGGGAAGCAACCTCCTCCCCCTTCCTGAGAGGAGGGTGAGATCATCCGCTCATATCTTTTGAATTTATTTAGCTCGTTGCAGATGTGATGAACCTCGTCTTCTTCATTCACTCAGTCATTCCGCTTCTCGCCCTTTCCTCCAAAATGCAGGCCCTAATCAGTGCCGTGCCTGCACTCAGCTGGGCATGCTGTCAGGCTCAGGAGATCTCCAAGCGACCCGCGCCTGCCACGCGCCCGCCTTGTGGACGTAGCTGGCGAAGCCGAGGGCCTTAAATTGCTTGACGAACTTCGGCAACATCGCACGCAACACCTCTGTGAAAAGGATCGGCCTCTCGTCGGAGAAGGGCTCATCCGGCCCATGAGTTGCGTAGTGCCATGACTCCGCGTTGATGCCCTCTCCCCAGGAGGCCACGTGGCACGCGGAGTCCGTGCAGGCGCGCTTCGGGAATGCCTGGACCTTCCGGGTGATGACGTCGAAAGGCACTGTCACCTCGCAGTTCTGCTGCTCTGCCTCCTGGACGAAGCACTGCTTGAAGAGTTCGATGGCATGGTCCACGTGCTTGGGCTCCTGGCCCTCCCACCGCTGCGCCAAGCACATCCTCGCAGAACGTTCGTTCGATACGGCCATGGCCCGCCGCTGCCCGATGGCCGCGCCAGCCTCGGCGCCGTCGTCGCAGTCCGCCTCGGAATTGGCGCCCTCAACCGCCGACGGCTCCGACGAGGGCGTGCGGGAGGGGCGCGGGGTGGACGCGTGGCGACAGCTATCCACGTCTGGGCCCCCCCGCCTGCACTCCCGCGCCTGCTGCGCTGCGGGAGCCTCGTCCTGCAATGTCGTCGGCCTCGCGGGGAGCCGCACTTCCAGCAGACAGGTTCGAGAGTGCCTCACCGCCGCCGCCGTCACTGCCGAAGCGCTCCGGTGCCTGGGCCCCCGCACGATGGCAGGCGCCGTCCTCATGTTCCTTCTCAACGGCCTCCTGTACCGTGTGCTGCTGTTGCTGCTGCTGCTGCTGCTGCGCCGAGGCCTGGACCGCCAGCCTCCAGCCAGCAGCCACTCCCTGCCCGAAGGCCTCGGACAGGCCTGCCGCGCACGCTGGTTGCCAGCAAATCGCCTGGCGCTTCAGACTGCACGAGCTGGGCGTCGGCCGCCATGCCGAACTGCTCGCCGAGCACAGGGGGCGGCCCCATCCGCAACGCCACGGGCTGCGCGAACTCGACCGCTGAGACAGCGCGGGGCGGCCGAGCAGCGCACACGTAAACCACAGCCTCGACGCCGAGGGCTCCGAGCAGGGCGCCGGCCTGGTCGCTCTCAAGCCACACGCCTGGCGCCAGCCCGACCGCGGGCGGCTGGGGGTGCAGCGCCTTCAGCAGGGCCACACTCGGCTCCGCGGCGTCCTCGACGCGCTTCTCCGAGTGCACGTCGCCCCTGGACCACGCCTCGTGCCGGCCGCGGTCACCAGCCGCCTTGACAGCACGGCAGCGCAGCAGCCACTCCGCGGGGACATGCGCCAGCGCAGCCAACTCACGTAGGGCGTCGCCGAGCCGATGACGATGGTGCCCCAAACCTTCATCCACGCTTCGATGGAGAACCAAGGCATGGCCTAGCGCCTCCAGCCTGGAGGACGACTCCGGGCCAAGCTCACCCGCGCCGAAGTCGATAGCCAGGGCGTCCATCGATGTGTCGACGGCGTGCTTCACAGCCTGCGCCGCCCGTTCTGTCCTCAAGCGTCTCGCCAGGTTGCTGGCGCCCTTCCTCGCTCACACTTGTCCGCGAATCCTCTCAGGCACTTGCTCGAGCGCCGCCGCAGCACCCCGCAGGCCTCCCGCAGCCGTCTGCCTTCCGCGTCCGCCAGCTTGCGCCGCTATCACCGGAAATGGCAATGGTGGAAAACAACGGGAAAAACAGCTTGAGCCAAAATGGCTACGAACCCTCCTCCTCCTCCTCCTCCTCCTCCTCCTCCTCCTCCTCCTTGTCCTCATCCTCCTCCTCCTTGTCCTCCTCCTCCTCCTCCTCCTCCTCCCCCCCCCCCCTCCTCCCCCTCCTCCTCTTCCTCCTTCCCCTCAGCGTGTGTGTGTGTGTGTCTCTCTCTCTCTCTCTCTCTCTCTCTCCCCCGCGCCGGGTGAGGAAGATCATCATTAGCCCAGTGCGACCCTACCTAGAAGCTGGAGCCCCTAGGACAGCAGCATTAGTTGCTATGACATGACATGCCATGCCATGCTATGCTGCGCTATGCTATGATATGCTATGCTATGCTATGATATGCTATGCTGCGCTGTGCTATAATATGCTATGCTATGCTAAGCTTTGCTATGTCATGCTGCGCTGTGTTACGCTAAGCTATGCTATGTCATGCGATGCGATGCGAGCTAAGCTGCGCTATGCTATGCTATGATATGCTATGTTGTGCTATGCTACGCTATACTACGCTGCGCTGTGCTATACTGTGCTGTGCTGTGCTGCGCTATGCTATGCTGTGCTATGCTAGGCTCCGCTATGCTATGCTATGCTGGGCTTTGCTACGCTATGCTATGCTGTGCCCTGGTATGCTAAAGCTCAGCGACGCTAAGATGAAGGTAAGCTAAGCTAACATTACACCCATGCTATGATATGCGATGCTGCGCTATGCTATGCTACGCTATGCTATGCTGTGCTCTGCTATGCTAAAGCTCAGCGAAGCTAAGATGAAGGTAAGCTAGCTAAGACAAGCCTGAGCTAATATGAACCTAAGCTAAGCTAAGATGAACTAAGCTAAGCTAAGATGAGATAAGCACCGCTAAGCTAAAGGGACGTAACCGGGGGAACCGCGGGGCGGATACTGGGGGAACCGCCCGGGGCGTGCCGCACTGCCCGGCCCTTTAAGCAAACCGAGTATGAACCCTTCTAGGCAGAGCCTAGGTAGGGAAACAACAGCCACGACACTGGAGACCCTGGCGTTGAATGTTTGTCTCACCTTCTCCTTCTCCTGCTTCTGCTCCTGCTCCTGCTGCTCCTCCTCCTCATCCTCCTCCTGCCCTGGCGTTCAAACCTTCACCACAAACTTTGGGTGCGGTCAATTGGATCGCCCTCTCATTCACTTTACACCGAGCACCTTGAGGTGCTGGCTGCGGCGAGTCGCTCGCTAATGGCCTGAGACAACAACAATAACACTTTGCTCGAAGCTACGTGCGATCCTCCTCCTCCTTTCCCCTTCTCCTCCTCCTCCTCCTCCTCCCCCTCCTCTCTTCCTCCTCCTCCTCCTCCTCCTCCTCCTCCTCTCCTCCTCCCCTCCCCTCCTCCTCCTCCTCGTCCTCCTCCTCCTCCTCCTCCTCTCCTCCTCCTCCTCTCCTCCCCCCCCCCCTTTCTCCTCCTCCTCCTACTCCTCCTCCTTTCCCTCGGCATGCGAACGCTCTGGTCAGGAGCGTGTTGGCCCCAAGAGCGGCAGCATCGCCATGGGCTCGTCGCCTCTCCCGCGTGCCGGGCCTGCGGGGCCCCGCGCGGCACCGCGGGGCACGAGCTCGCTGATGGTGCTCCCCTCCCGGCCTGCCATGGGGAGGAGGAGGCTCTTCGATTGTGCTCCCCTCCTGGCATGGGCTCTTTGATTGTGCTCCCCTCCTGGCATGGGCTCTTTGAATGTGCTCCCCTCCTGAGCTCTTTGATCGTGCTCCCCTCCTGGCATGGGCTCTTTGATTGTGCTCCCCTCCTGGCATGAGCTCTTTGATTGTGCTCCCCTCCTGAGCTCTTTGATTGTGCTCCCCTCCTGGCATGAGCTCTTTGATTGTGCTCCCCTCCTGGCATGGGCTTTTTGATTGTGCTCCCCTCCTGGCATGCCACGATTGCGCTCCCCTCCTGGCCTGGCACCCCCTCCTGGTCTGCCATGATTGCGCTCCCCTCCTGGGCCCTGCCATGGGGAGGAGCAGTTCTTTTCCGAGGCTCTTTTGGCCACGCGCGAGTCCTGGAGAGAGAAGGGTTTCTCGGGATCCGGTGCGTGCTAGGACAGGTCTGATATTACGATCGGCCTCCTTGTTGAACCCAGCCTGCCCGCTCCCGTCCCTGACTCCATGTCAAGTGCGCTCTGGGGTGATCGATCGTCGGATCGGGCGGGCTGGAGTGGTGCCGTCTACACGGACGGCTCGGGGTTCGGGAACCGAGCTCCCCAGTGCACCCGCTGCGGCTGCAGCTGCGTGCAGGCGGATGCCCACGAGGCGCGCCCCTCGGAGCAGCCCATGCCGGCCTTTTCGGGGAGTCCCTGCGGTCCGTCGGCAGAGGCCGAGAGAGAGTGGCGGGCCTCCGAGCGGTGCAGCTCTTTTCCAGGCACGGCGGCCGATGGCCGGAGATTTGCGCAGCTTTCTGCAGGAAGTCCCAGCACGCACCGGATCCCGAGAAACCCTTCCCCTCCTCCTCCTCCTCCTCCTCCTCCTCCTCCTCATCCTCCTCCTCCTCCTCCTCCTCCTCCTCCTCCTCCTCCTCCTCCTCCCCGCTGGATGGGGTGGTGGGGGGCGGGCGCGGCCTTGCAGGGCGGGGCAGATCATGCTGGGGCGGGGCGGGGTGGACCCCCTGCCTCGCCTCTTCCAGAGGCACCTGCCCAGGCGTGTGGCGCCGGCTATTTTCATGCCGCGGAAGACAAGAGGTCGGCCCGACGGCGCTTGGGTCCCGCCGCGCCTCACGATCGGCGGCGCGCGGGAGAAAAAGGAGCGTCGGTGTTGGACGTGCAAGGGAACGCGTGGGCAGATTCTTTGGCCCGCCTCGGAGCCCTCCCCCACGCGTTGCCAGCGAAGTACGCTGACGGGTCTGACCTCCAGTCAGGAGGGGAAAAAACACACAGACACAATTAATCCTCGATTCCCCAGAAAGTATGGGAAAATATGGGAAGCGAGGGGGAAGACAGAAACCCAGAAAATATTGGAAAATATGGGGAATAGTTTTATTTGTGTGTATTTATTTGTGCGTTCTGGGGCCCCTTTATCCAGGTCGGGGCCGCGCAGCCTCCTGCTCGTCACCCGGGGCCTGGCTGTGGCCAGGATTTTGCGGAGCCTGGGCCCTGGAGCCAGGAGTGGGGCGACGGGCCTGCCAGCGGCCCGCGCGCGGCACTCCTAGGAATTCGTAAGGATTCCTAGGAATGCCTAAGGATTCCTAGGAATTCGAAAGGATTCGTACGAATTTGAAGGGATTCTTCGGAATTCGTCCCAGCAGCAGTTGGCACGTTTCCCGGGCACGGGCGAGGTGCGCTGCAAGGAGTGCAACCGTTCGGCCTGCACTGGGCTCGCGCTTCGCCCTCGTCGGGATCGTTGGCACGGGCTGCGTGAGCCCACGCCTGGGCGCAGGCTCGGAGCGGCCCAGCACCTGGAGGATGCCAGGAGGAGGGGGCGCTCCTTTCCCGAGGGAGCGGGCGCCACGGTGGGGCTTGCGCTCCTGGCCGCGTTCGCCCTTGACGTCGACGGGGAGGAGGCTGAGTCGGGTGAGCCGCCTGTGAGCGTGGTCGTGCCGATCCCCCCCATCGACATGAGTTGCTTCTCCGAGCGAGGCCACCAAGTCGTGCAGGTCGGGCAGTCGCTCGTCTGCCGATGCTGCGCTTCCGTCCCATCCCGATTGCGCGTGGGCCCCAAGTGCAAGCTTCGGCAGGGATGTCAGGGCTTATCGAGGGGGGAACGCCTCAAGAGGGAGCAACTGGCTGATCTGTCCAAGGTGCTTTCGGGGATTCACCCCAAAACGGCGAGTCGCTCGTCTCCCCTCTCCACCCCGTTTCCTCGTCCTCCGCTCCTCCTCCCCTTCCTCCTTTTGCGCCGCAGGAGGTGCTTGGTGAGGCTCCGCCGCTTGGCTAGCGGTGCCTGGGAAGCCGTGCATTCTGCGAAACGTAACGCCACACAGGCAGACCATTTGGGCCATGCCTACTGGCTTTCTCGCTCGGCCGCGCCGATTCGGTTTCGGTGGCATGGTCCAGCGTTTAGGTTTTTCGGGCGTCTTCGGTATTTCGTTGACGACTCCATTTGGGTTCTGGCTCCTCCTCTCCCTAGGCGTCATGTGTGTGTGTGTGTGTGTGTGTCTCCCCTGCGCTGGCGAGGACGAAGCACACATATAATCACGACATCAGAGATCCTGGCGTCGCAGCTTTGTCATACCTCCTCCTCCTCCTCCTCCTTCCCCTCCGCCCCCTCCGCCCCCTCCTCCCCCTCCTCCTCCTCCTCCTCCTCCTGCTCCCTCCCCTTCTCTCCTCCTCCTCCTCCCCTCCTCCTCCTCCTCCTCCTCCTCCTCCTCCTCCTCCTCCTCCTCCTCTCCCCTGGCGTTGTGTGTGTCTCTCTCCCCCGCACCGGTGGAGGATGAGAAACAATAACAGTCATGACGTTAGAGATCATGGCCTTGCAGCTGTTTAACACTTCCTCCCCCTCCTCCTCCTCCTCCTCCTCCTCCTCCTCCTCCCCATTTTCCCTTCTGCTTCTCTTCCTCATTCTCCTCGCGCCGCAGAAATATTGGATCTGGGGCTCCCACCGGAAGATGCGAGGATGTCTCGATTGTTCCGCGACGTCGGATCTCAGGGTCCCCCGCGTTGTGAAAAACGATCCCGACGGACGGTTATGGGTTTTTCTCGGTCTCTGGAGGTGCCTTCGTGGGGCCAGGGCCGTCAAAAGACGGCTCGGGGTGAAGATCGGGGGCGGCCCAGAGGGGGATGATGACCGGTGTGGGGTTGATATCCTGGCCA